ACATGTTCTGTTTGAAATAAATTAAAAAGTTTCTATTTTTTCAAGTTTAACTATAAATTACTCAAAATGTATTAAATAAAAAGAACTTAAGATTGAAAGACCTTTTTATGGTTAAAAACTCTCCACAAAACAAATCATAGATTAAAGATCTCCAGTAATCCAAAAATTATAGAATATTGATCGCTAAAGAATTGATTTTAAACCACTGTGATAAGTAGGTATTAAAGTCATTGCCCACTTTATGAAACCGGCATAAAGCTATCTCGGTATGAAACATGAAAATTAATTAATATTTGTATATGTAACATATTATGTAGAGCTGTGAGCCATGTCTTCGATGAGATGTGCTTCTAGCATTCAAGATCTATTTCAATCAAAAAATCCATATGTTAAAATGAACTTCATTTAAAGTTGACAAAGTCGAAACAATCGTTAAAATTCATAACAAATTTTTGATTATTTTTGAGTTTTATTTAAAATTTTTTTTATATTATATAAAATGTGTTAATAATTTTTGAAACAAATTTAATATAAATATCTCCAACGTTTAGATATTTACAGATAACACACTAGTTCCAGTTAATCTAAAATAAATTTTACAAAAATATACTCAATACTTCTTTCATATAACAGTATAAGAATTATTACTTTATTTTTTTTAATTACGACGACGTTGCGTATTTCTCTGCCTATTCCCAGGGTGGTGTGTAGTGTACGTGCAACGTGATCCAGGTCGCGCAGTACCACAGCCGTTAAAAGGCTTAAGATATAGCATTGGCAATACCACTTTGTTTTGTATCTTTTTATATTCTTTGAGTTGGAAATCTACAGCTTTTGCACTTATCAATTGCACTGCGCAGAGTAAAAATATTAGATACTTTAAACCGTTCATGATGGCAAATTGAAATTTAAGTTTCAAAATTGAATATTTATTCAATATAGTATAATATATTATTTTATTTCTTCTTAGTGAATTTTTAATTTTGTATAATTTTTTCTTTTCAATTATTTCACTTAAGACTCTCGAACGTAACAACTTTCTTATTTCAATGTCTATTCTATACTGAATACCGTAATTATTAATGTACTCTGATAATGCTTCAGATTTCAAAATTTCTTATCACTCAATTTCACAATTATAAATTATTTTTGCGAAATTATAAGAAAATCCCATAATTAATCTTATTTAATGATTTCAAACATATTAACTTGATCTTGAAGAATTTATTTTATACCAAATGTAAAACACATGACACTATGTTGTGTGACTTAAACATATTGGCATTAAATATCTTACATAGGTCTTTAAGTTCTCCGTCGATTGGACCAGTATTTGAGACAATGTCAAGTAAATAAGCAGACTCTTGGAACAGTCGAGTAATATCTCATATGTGGTAATATTTTTATTATTATTATTATTTAATCCTTTTATTCCTAGGTGGAACAGAGGGCCGTAACAAATAGTTTCCATTGAACTCTATCTAATGCAAGACGTTTTGTCTTTCCAGCATTTCTTAATTCGGCTTCAGTTTGTCGTTTCCAAGTGTTGCGCGGACGCCCTGGTCTTCTACTGCCTTGAGGGTTGAAATCTAAGACATTTCTTGCGATATCATCAGCGGGTTTTCTTAACGTGTGGCCTAGCCATTTGTATTTGCGCATCATTATTTCATCAGTTATAAGAGGCTGATTCGTTCTAAACCAGAGCTCATTATTGGTTATGGTTGCTGGCCAGAATACATGAAGGATGGGTCGTAGACAACGATTGGCAAAGGCTTGTAGCTGTTGTGCGTCTCTTGCCGTTAGGTTCCAACTCTCACTACCATATAGTAAAGTTGATTTTACGTTTGCATTGTACAGGTGTATCTTAGTGCGTTGTGTGATGTTGGATGAACGCCAGATTTTGTTAAGGGTTCCAAACGCTTGCTTCGCTTTCGATAGCCTGTACTGTATGTCTTGCCGACTGCCGCCGTTGTTCGAAATGTAGCTTCCCAGATAGCAGAAACTTTGTACATCTTCGATGTAGGAGCCATCTAGTTGAAACTTCGTTAAGCAGTTTGAATTGAGACGCATAGACTTGGTTTTGTTGATATTGATTGACAGACCAGCTGCCAATGCACGCTTTGCGATGTTGTTTAACGATATTTGCATCTGGGAAATATTTGCATGTGGTAATATTTACTGACATTATATTTTTCAACAAAGAACTTATATCAAAAAGCTGTTTTATTTTAATTTTCAAATTAGTACTTAAAAATCTTGAAACAAAATTTGTTTCAAATTATCTCATAATAATTTCAATGTGAGAGTAAAGTACGTTGTCTATTTTTATATATTGAAGATTTATTTTCTAATCTATTATATTAGAAATTTTATACTTTAATAGTAGAATATGCGCAGTTCTGCGTAGTGGCACACAACTAATTACCTGTGGTATTACAAATAATTGCATACTTCATCCTAACAATATTAAAACCATAAACGTTTCAAACCACGTTGGCATCAAAGAAAGTAATCAAGCAGATCAAGTTGCTTTTAATGCAATCCATTCTTTTTTTCTTATTGAATACATACAAAACATTATAAAAACATTATAAAAAACATATAAAATATATAAGTGACATGAAATGGTCAGTGTTTAAACATCACTAAAACCGGTCGATTAATACCAACTCATTAAAAGTAATATACCCACTATCATGCACCAATCAACAATGTGAAATGTTTATTCGATTGCATATGGGATAATTATAGCTGTCACATCAGTATCTTTCGAAATACTGGCCATTGATAACGGCCTTTACTGCGAATTCAGAAACAACCCCATTCCACAAATGTGGAACAGAACCAACCAACTCTTTAAAAATGCTCAAAATTTCTACATCTTGATAAAAAAAAAACAAATGAAAGAATCCGTACCCCGCTACTATGCTTCAAAGCCTTATCAAAACCTGGAAAAAGAAATGAGAGAGATTATAACTGTGAACAGTTGACCAAACAAACACATCACAAAGTGATTGGTCGAGCTTTCATGAAGGGTCGCCTAGATGTTTAATACCTTTATGGTGATAAAAGTATCAAACAAAATAATTTTATTGTTTATCACGTATCTGTGCTTTCTATTCTATTAATACAATGAAAACTCTGGACAATTATTTTCACCTGAAAAATTTAGTGTTCCCGTTAATGACAGTTTATTGAAATTTCGCTGTATATATTTGCAGTAATTATGTCATATTACGGGTTAATTATTTGGTTTTAAAAGATTTTATTTTAACTAATATTTCGATTATAATCTATAGTCATCATAGTACCCGAAACATCGTAAGAGTACTATCATGATTATAGATAATAGGCGAAATATCATCATGGTACTATGATGACTATAGATTACTGTCGAAATATCGGTTATAATAAAATCTTTTAAAAACCGATAAAAAAATTTTTAAAAAGTTTATTATTTAACTATTGACCATTTAGCCCACAAAAAAATAAAATTATTATTAAAATTTTCTGGTCATTAAAACAATAAATTAATTTAACTTAAATAAAATGAGTTCTCTAATATTTTGCGACCATTTCTTTTATTTGTTTTTATTAATTTTATTTGTTATTTATTATAAATATTTCGTAAAGATAGTCATTTAATGAAATATATTTAAATTTTTGCTATGTTAAAGGTACAATTAAGTATTTCTTTATTTGTTCGTATAAATATTTCATTTTTAAACATCTAAACAAAACATATTGTTAAATAATATTTTTCTTTAAGAAAGATACAAGAGAACTTTAATATTATGGATAAGTATTTAAAATATTAAAAAATAAATTTAATAACAAAAATATGTTATTTTATATACATATATAGTATGTGTTATAAATATATTGTATAGACAAATACAATATATAATAAACAGATATGAAATCACTGTTTGGTATTAACAAAATTATCTAAATGATTTGTAAAAATATTCAAGTCTCAAGTTAGTTAAGTTAACACTGAAAAAAAATACATTAAGCCTTAAAAAGGTTTTTTTTTTAAAACAGTCTCTTCTGAAAAAATTGTTTAAACAATAATCAATAAACTAATATTTTATAACTTTCTTTTATATTTACTTTTACTGATACTTTTATAGAGTAAAATTTATTTTAAGTTTATTAAAATTTAAATTTTATTGGTTTTTATTTAATTTCTCAAGATTTTGTTTATTTTAATTTATTTTTTATTTTGTATATAACAATGGTATTAAAAACCTTCAATTTGCAGTAGAATAGTAAATTCATACAAGATATTATATTTAAGTATGTAAATTCCATTGAAAAATTTTATAGTAAAAAGTTTTTGATTTTTGCTTTTTGCTTTATTATAATAAATATAATAAATAAATAAATAAATTCTCAATTTAATTGATATGAAAGCTGTTTAGGATTGTTTTGAAATTTCGTTTAATTGGAACCCATTATTTCTTTACGAATATTCACCACTTTATAAGCAAAGTCAACTAAATTTCTCGGTGAATAATTCGAGCCTATAAACAATATTAAAAATATTTTTAGAATATATATACATAAATACACAAATGTATGTATATGCATATATGTATACAGAATTTCTATGAAATTTTTTAGACACATTTTATTTTGATAAATTTTCTCTATATAGTATAACATTAATATATATTATTGATCTATTTAATATATATAAAATTGAAATTTTTTTTTTATAACAGTTTGTATAATTTTTGTTAAAATACTTCAAAATATTTTTGCATTTATAAATTTAAGTATAATATACATATTTTTTTTAAATACATATGTAAATAAATAGTTTCTTTGATAATTGTTATTTTAATATGCTAATTGTGATTGTTAGTCAAAACGATGTACATAATAAAAATCGTGTTTTTAGATATGGTGGCAAGACCAGGAAGATATTTTATATTGGCATAAACATAAAAACAAGAATTTAAACGTTAAAATTAAAATCTCATACTATAATTATTTATGATTTGTATTATATTTTTTCTACTTATTTTCAATTATCATTTGTAATTGAAGAACCAAGCTGCGTGCCAGTTGTAATACTGCTGTTGCATTATGACGTTCCGCCATTTCTTCAAAAAATGATTACAACGACAGTTTTATTAAAATATAAAATTACTATATATTCAAATACACTCTACATACCATTAAAAAACTTGATAACATCCGTAAAATCCATACTATTCGATAATATAATATCGCGATAAGTTTCTAGTAAAGCCAATGCCAGGAATAGTACAAAATGACTTGAGGCTACATGTCTTGCTGCCCAAATCACTTCCCATGTCGAAAATACATCTTCGTAAATCAATTCTCTTTTAAAATCCAACAAAAACCAACGATAACAAAAGTAGAAATGTGTATAATCGCCATTAGAATCCATTAAATCGTACATTTCGGAGTCCAAAATTTGTATTAGAGATCTATGAAAATATATTAAAATATATTAAAAAAAATGATTATATTTTTTATATAGGAAATAATATACTCGTAGTTTGTAGTATGTTTAATAAATATATATAGAAAACAATATAATTTGTGAGATGTTTAATTAATATTAATGTATAGGAAATATCTTTTGACATGCACAACTTGCACCTCTACCGATCGATCGGTCAGCTGTAGTTTTTCAAAATGATATTACGTAGTTAGTGTGATATAATATGGATAAATATTGTTCATTGTTTCAACAAACAATCAAATTTAAAAATAATAAAGTTTATTTAAAGACTACTTATATAAATTGCAATAAAACGCAAACATTTCTTAATCAGAAGTGTAAAAAACTCTATGGTCTATATCACAATATGACACATTTTAGACGAACCTCATATTTGCAAAATGCATATCCATAGCTCCACCATTTGGAAAATTTTCAATCATGCGTTCCATTAATTTACAAAAGCAACTGTAACTTAAAGATTCGTCGTCGAAAATTACTAAAAGTGGTGCTACCAAATCGCACATGCCCTGCATATAACCAACTTCCAGATGTTCCCAGACATAACTACAATTAAATTATTTTTATTAATGTTTTAAAAAAGTATAGCTAAACTTACGTTGAAATAACATTACGAAGCTTATCCAAATTCTCATTTGCAAAGTACCAATAATTTCGATCACACCTCTGAACATCTTTTTCAATGCGATGCAAATTTAAACCAAATTGTTCCAATAGTTCGCTCTATAAAAATAATCAAATTTTTTACACACAAATATATTTGAATGTTAATTAAATAAGAAGTCTAAAATTGACTTACACTATAAACCCCACCATTTGAGCTGGCTGGTGAAACACATGCAGATTTGGGTTCCTGTAGACCATCAAAAACTTTCTCGCCTATAATGTTGTCATCCATAGCATGCTCCTGCACTGGTGTCATTTGACGACTTCCCGTTTGTGAACTCTGTTCCCAGTTAGCAATATCAACCGAGGCATCTGTTATAATAACTGCCGCTTGAGGTCCACAATTCTGTGCATTTTGCGAAACAGTAACTTGAAAATTATCTGTGTCTACCACTTCCTCATCCAAATTCACTTGTAAATCATCTGCACTTAAATATTCAGGACTCAGCACACCTTTTGAATCCTCAACTGAAATCAAATTTGTAGATATGGATGCATTTAAATTGGTTACATTAAAGCCATTGCCAACTGTTTCATAGGATGAACTGGATGGGGAACTTTTAATACTTTGTGTGGTTTGTTGCATACCTGCATCAGCTCTGAACGTTTCTTCTGTGTCAATTGTTGTAGGTAAATCAGTATTATTGCTATCGCTGCCCGCATCGCAGTTCTCGTTCATTGTACTTTCTTCATCCTCTTCAAGTGCTTCATCAACATGACCAGAATCTGTGCTTACTTTCATTGCACGTGGAATGGGTTTAACCAATAAGTGACCCGTTCCACTCACTGCAGGCGACTGTAGTCGTTGATTTTCATCAAATTCCAAATCACCAGGATCAGAAACATCGGAAATATCTTCAAATACTTCATTTTCGAGCTCAACAGCTTCGAAATCAGCAGCACGCACAGTTTTGTCATTGCCACTATTACTTCCAGAACTAAGCTTGGCGACTGCGCGAGCTGTTTTCTCTTTCTCGCGTTGCTGTACAATGGCATCAACGGCTAACCACTCACTCATTGTGGTTTCATAATAATGTTTACAGGTTTCATCTTGTTTCTGACGTTCCTCAGGAGTCGAACCGAAACTTTTGAAAAAAGGAAATAAATATTATTTTCAATTAATGAAAAATACAAAACTAACCTGTAATGTCCTAACAAGTAAGGCCATATATCTTTTCTTAATTCTGGATCGGTACCACCAAAATAAACTAACCGATAAAACTCAGTGTCATCTGTAACCACACCATTTTCGTTTAGTTTTTCCCACCTTTCCTTAGTCAAGCCGTGTTCATCAGCTTTCACTGAAAAATATAAGAATTATATTTATAATCAAGAAATTCGATTAGAATATGAAGTCAAACTAACTTTCTGGAGTAATTCGTCCATGCACAAGCCCAGATAAATGTGTACGCACAGTTGACAAATGCCTACAGTATGCAAGCCAACCATAAAAGGCTCTGGAAATGATCTGTCGACGCATAGTAGAGCAAACCATCTCGATGCTCGCATTTTGACTTGTCTGTACCTGAAAGTAAATTATATAAATGAATTAAATGAAAACAATATATTATTACGAGTATATACATTTCTGGTTCTTACCAACGGGGTTTCCATTGGATATTGATCAATGGATATACTTTTGCTTGAGCAATCACTGCTACCAGTAGTTGAGCAACTACTTAACTGAGCACGACGTGGTGCGCTACGTACAAAATCAAGAATGGAATGTGCTGCAACTATAAGATATAAACAAAATTGTGTTGTATATAAAATAAAAGACAAAAAATAATCATATCTCACCAAATTCTTCATGTTTACTCTTGCTGACGATGCGGAATACATAATCAATTGGTGTTTCATCCATTGATTCCATAACTGAGGGTAATATGCGCCTGCGCATACTTTTCGGCCATGGAAATATTTTGCCCAAACCACGTTGTGACCACAATGGTGGATCTAATTGTCCGTGTGGCAATAAACCAGTTTCTAGGCAACTTAAAAATTGCTGCATATGTCCTCCTTCTGGAAAATGTATTGGTGGTCGTTGTACACCATCTTGTCCTACCAATATAATTGTACCACCACTATCATCGCCACGATTTTGATGGCAATGCACATAAACAATATCTTCAACATTAATATTAAGCGCATATGCCCAATAGGTTTCTTTATCCTCGTCCTCTTCAGTTTCGTTGTAACCATTCATTAATTGATTCGGTGTCCATTTAATAATTAAGTTTTGTATATTTTGATGAAGACTTAAATAACCTGGCATTGGTGTGCTTACACCAACTGGTAATACTTGCACATTATTTTTACCATACAGTAATGTTGCTCTAGAATTTTGATGTAAGGATTCTACATAATCCTTAGCAACTGTTGCTGAGGCTATTGATTTAAAGGAACTAGTGCTTGCTTCATCCGAGCTAGTGTTAAGACTACGTTTAAAATTAATAATTGATGGTCTTGAGCAAGTTGAGGAAGAACGACGACCTGAACTTATTCGATGACGTTGTACCTATGGTAATAAATATTTTCAAGGGAATGAAAAGTTTTTTATATAAAAGGTTCTATTTAGAGATTAGATTTTTAAAATGAAATAAAAAACATAAAAAACTATGGTGATATAATTTTATATTAATAGCTCAGATTGGACCAATAAATCTCGAAAATATAGTGCAAAAGATGAGAGCAAACCCAGAAAATGATAGTAATATGTGATTCAAGTCCTCAAATTAGACCTACAAAGGGGAATCAGAAACTAAACTAATGAAAAGTGCAGACGCTACGAATATGCGATGAAAAAGTGAAGATCTGAACGCAGATCGAAAATCACAAGAGTATGTGTTATATTCTCTTTTTTCATTGTCAAATTAAATATAGTTATAATTTAGTGAATAGATAATAAAATATTGATTAGTAAGGAAAGAAGTATCTTTTAATTCAATGACGAGGCTATAATAGCATGGCTTAAAATGCCAACATAAAAGAAACCCTCCTCAAAGTAATGCGAAACCGGTCCCAAGGGAAAAAAGGGTTCATCAAAGAGGAGGTGTTTTAGTCCATATACTACATATTAATGTTAGGGATGGTGCATAAAGCATTCTCCACCTCCTCACCACAAACAAAACAAAAAATAAAGGTAGGATTATGATTTTAAGTATAAGTGCTTCTAAAACACTAATCTGGTTGCCCAATTTTGGAGCAGCTGAGCCGCGTTATCGTCAATTATTTTACAAATATTTTTAAATAAGCCAAAGACTCTGAAGTATCTAAATATATCATTGATAATATCCTAATAAAATATTATCCAAAGAGACGAGATCGCACGTTTATGGGGATATATTAAAAACTCTGTTGTCAATAGAAACATTCTTGCGTACTTAAAAACCAACCTCTAAAAAATACTCTTCATTATAATAAATTGAATTTAGTTCAAATGATTATTTGTTAACCCATTTCGGGCCACCATGTGGTTCATCACACGGCTAGCTTTTCTGTGTAACTAATCTTTCAAATATATATTAAACTTTTCTCATTTACTTAAACCTGTCTTTCTTCACGATAAACTATGGAAATTTTACCGTTAAATTTCAAGTCTGAATTTGCCTGATACTTAATGGGTTAAATAAAATGTGAAATATTAGCCATCTAATAATATTCTCTTATTTAGTTACTTATGACTTCATTATTCAAAAGTTGAAATTTTCCTTTGCATGAAACTCGCCAACAGATGGAAAGCACTAAGGTCGTGTGCAACTTCCAAGTTAACGTGGCCCACCTATAATAAAAATAAATCCCTGGAATTGATCAAAAGAGATCCCGTAAACACTGCAAGGCTTATTGCAGTTACTGGTCATTGGTGTATAGGAACTCGCGCAGAGAAACTGCGTATTCCCTATAACTCTCACTGCAGAAGTTGTAGAAACCCGCAGGAGAAAGAAACAATAATACATTTTCTCTGTGAATGCCCAGCTCTAGCATCCAGAAGATATAGGTTCTTGGGAAAATACTTTTGTGATAGTTTGTCAGACTGCTCAATGGTGAAGATGAAAGACCTATTAAAATACCTAAATTCAGTGGGATGGATTTAGTCTCTACTCTTCTATATAGGGTTCTTGCGAGGAAAGTGGTAACAAAACGGCGAAAAATCGCTAATTGAGGTACATTTGAAGTTATCTTATGACCTGCCACTGCAACCAACCAACCAACCTTTGCATGAACTTATCAAATCATCAATAATTCAGTTTCTACTAATACTCTTACCAATTCATCAGCGTGGGGATCAGTCCAATAATGATCTGCAGTTTTGGCACGTGTAAAATCCAATGCACAAGGACCAACTAATAGCGAGCTAAGTATGGAGCCATAATCAGAATCGGCTACTACTGCATCGCGGTCATAGTAAGTGTTGGCATTTGTTACCAGGTACTCAATAATTTTTGCTAAACCCTTTTCGAATAAAGCTAAACGTATCCACAAATATCTATAATACAAAAAAATAATATGTTATTTTTAACATATACTTCACCCTCACTTACTTCATGGAAGCTAAGGACATCAGTGAAGCACTTGCGCTCATCGTTGTCACTGAAGTACTGCTGCTTTTTTTGAGCATCGGAGGACGATTGAAACTTTCACTGCTTGAAGAAGAACGCTTACTCGGATCGCTAGCTTCAATTTCTTGCACTTTCTTACTAATAAATTCAGCTTCTGGACATGATTTTGCTATTTTATGTAAAAGCGCTGTTGTGGAAGATGTTTTAAACAAGCCTAAGGCACGTCTTCGCAGACCATGACTGAGACAGGCTTCGACAGCTGCACACAATTGTGTCACTGAACTGCTTTCTTCATGTATATATTTTTTAGTTACTGCCTCTTCCATAAGCTGTTTCACCTCCTTCTTAACACCAGCTATCAGTCGCTCTTTGTAGTCCGTCTCTGCAAAATTCAAAGGAACTTTTTTTATTTAATATGAAATATAAAAATCCATTACATTTCGGCATATGCCATGATTCGATTACTTAATGCAATAACTTTTTTATGGAAAATGATAAAAAAACCCACAGAATATCTTAGTAGAAAAGTAATATTCGCTGTTGTAATTCAAATCCCATTAAATGTTCGTATTTCAGGTCCCCCAAAGCGCAAACCGCCATAAAAATAAAAGCATAATTTAAATTGCAGTGTAGCATAAAATTATATATATATATATATTTTTTTTTTTTGCTGAGGGTTTCACTAATACATTAATGTCACCGGAATTCTATATGTACGTGCGTGAGTGCGTCATGTACGCATTCACGTGCAGCAACAAGTGCTGCGGCCTGCAGCGTTTGTTATTGCTGCTGCTGCTTTCATCTCACTGCGTACACTAATGAAAATGAAACCGGAGCCAACTTAAATGAATTTTCAACACATTTTCTTTTAACGTTGACAAATTTTCTTCCTGTTGAAAAAGTCTCTTCATTAACACGGTTACCACTGTAACGAACCCACTTTCCCGCTTTCTTAATTGACAACTACTGATTTGCTGCTGTGCGGTATGCCTTGTACGTTTGTGGCTAACATGCGACGCCATCGTGCGATTGACGCCATGTTCACTGCCATTTGGAGACAGTGACGCTAGGTTGGATGCCTTGACTCAAATGCATTTAATTACTGCCACATTTTATTAACTTTCTGTTAGTTTCTGTGCCGGTTTGCAACATATTTCACTCCCTCATTTCTCCTGAAACCAAATTATTACTCCTGAAGTATGCTTACGTTGTGCGGATACGAATAACATGAAATTAAATCCATTGCACAACGCAATATGCTTTGAAGTATTTTCAAAAGTTATAGAATTTTCATTTCAGTTTTGAAACTTTTGCAACTTGAGATTGTTAAGTGCTCAGCTATTCAAACTTAACACGAGTAGAATGTGGCCAAATTGGGTCATAACTTCTGCAAAAGATTTCCGACTTTCGGGTGAGTTATTATTTTCTTATTAAAGAAAGTTTTGAGAAAATAACTACTTTTAAGTTTCGATTTTATTAATTCAGAACTTCTAAAAAAATTTCGAACTTTTTTCATGAAAACCAAATTCAACTAGTTTTAGACTTATTCATTATGGTTTAAAGTTTTATAGATCTGTATGGATTTGACAGTTAATACAAATAAATGATATTTATGGGTAACAAACGATTTCATATTCAAAATTGCTCTAAATTACAATACCAGGTGTACCGGTATGAAGCGAGCGTAAAGATACAAATGTTCCGACAGGGAACCTGTCGGTAATTCTGCTCCATGACAATGCACCTGCACATAAAGCAACCCGGGTTCAGGATGCAATCAAAACACTTGGCTGGGAGCTGCTACCCCACCCGCCGTATTCACTAGACTTGGCTCCTTCCGACTACCATTTGTTTTCATCGATGGGACACGCATTGGCTGAGCGTGACACAAATTGCCAGAAAGGTGGTCAAAATGTGTAGAAAGCAATGGCCAATACTTTGAATAAAATGTGTTTCACTTTCCTATTAATAATTAGTGTTTTATTTTCACCAAAAAACGATCATTTCATACCGGTACACGTGGTATATAATTTAGTGAAAAATCTATACATATAAATAAGTAAGATTATACCGGCGATCCAAAGGGAATCAACTTAGGCCTATTGACGCATTGCGTTAGCGTATAATGGAAAAACTCAAAGCTTAAAACCACCTGGAACATTTGGCGAAGATTAAAATGAAGGTCTTGCGATTAATCAAGATCCTCAAAGTAGGGGCCCCTTAAGGTCCCTATACGCGACCACAGCTATACGCGACATCTCAATAAAAGGATTAGATACCTGCATATGGTTGAGTCTTCTCATCTTTTATTAAAAGTTCATCACAGAAAGAACGTAGTAGTAATTTGCATAACGTTAACAATATGTCCAGATCCGAGTGAAGTCCTAAAGCACCCCTTCTAGCTAGCTCGTCTGCTTTACAATTGCTGAAAATATCCCTATAACCAGGAAATGTTGAGCTACGTCGACATCTCCGACAAACCATCCTATATGTAAATTGGGCTGAAGTCAAGGACTTTGAAGCAGATTGATTGTAAACAGCCTAATTGTAAGCATATATTCCTGTTAAATATTTCATTCACACGCAGACAGGCTTTAGTTTTCCTAATGGTGATAGTTTCAGCTTTTAACAATTATGTTAAATGGATAATGTTGTTTAAAATTCCACAAGACGTTTTAAAAATATTATGAAAGTGTGATAGTCCCGCTTGCAACCAATTTAGTTATGTATCGGATGTTTTTTTTGTTACATAAGAACTATCGACATCGATAACTATGGTTAACTATGGCTGAGAATGTCGAAATGTATTGATATTTCTGGCAACTCATCATGAATCGTTTAGCGTTAGAACAACGCTTTTAAATTGTTTAAGTCTATTTGCGAAGTTAATAGAGCACTTCTTCCATTTAACGGTCAAATAAACAGCCCACTGAGCAAGCAATTCGTACAGTTATTGATCATTTTCGCACAAATTTTATTCTTCTGGATTCAAAACTATCACCAATTGACTGTACAAGCTGGCGGCATAATCCTTATTTTCTTATTTCCTCATAGATCCTTATTTATTTCGAAATGCAGAGAGAGCTGCTGTTACGATGAGTAGCAAGTGCTCTCAAGTCATGCTGACTGAATTTTTATTTCCAAAAATTAATTTATTAAACATCGAAGACATTTGGTTCAAGCCAGACATCTCAACTTATCATACAGCACGCTTAACAATCGATTTATTGCGAAACCTTTCTGACCTTTTAGTCTATGTACGAATCAACACTATTCCTGTAATACCGCAACAGATCATTATTTGAGTTCAAGTGAGCTTCTTGGATACAAAGCCATCACTCTAATCTGACCTAACCTTATCACCAATATTTCGACTATTTCGTTTATAGCGATTTGCAGGGTACTGTAACCTATTTTAATTGTGAAATTAAGGATCCAAATATATCCAGTATTGAAATAATTAAATACCAAAACTTTAAGCTAATAATTTAAGTGGGAAATAAATTTTTTAAAATTTTTTTTTATCTCAATTCCTAACAAATCTCGCACATAAGCGACAACAAATTAAATTTATATTGACTCAGTTCAAATATTTACAATTCGTTTACAAAGAAATAAAGTTCGGGAACGTGACGTTGAATGCACTTCATTTAGAAGATTCTATTTACACATTAAAGTACATAAAACTTAATTTGCAGTGTAGACATTTTCTGCTTTGTCAATTATAGGCAGTTGGTATTGGAATCAGACAGAGTCGCAACTCAAATCTGTTACATGACAGCATTTCACTGCTTCGTCTACTTCGTGCTGAAGCTACGTCATTTTAATAGGATTAATTTCGTGCAAATACTCATTTATTTACGTACATAATCCACTAAAAATTCTACAAATTACATTTGCCAGAGTCTTAAGCAAGAAGTGATATAGCTGTTGCTTCTGTAAAATGGAATAACTGGACAAACATTTTATGTCCTAATGAGATGTGAGGGGAAAGCTCATCAACTCAATTTATGACTGGTATTAAATTTTCCGAAGATTGGTTCAAATGTTGTGAACTAATACCCGTATAGGTTACAAGTTGCCTACTGTCAGCATCAACAACAGAACAACAAGAACAACAAGAACAGCAAGACCAGCATCGACAACGAAGACAGCAATGGCAACGATATCATCAACGTCAACATTATGATTGTTATGTTCATCAACAACAACTTTATTGATGGCAATAATTCCATTTATTTTGCTCAATATACTCGGAGCAACTTACTGAGTCAGCTGTACTTGCCTGATGCTTTTTATGTTCTTTTGTGATTATTACTTTTCGGTGACTGTCTTCCACTCATCCTAATGTTAATCAACTTTACTCAGTAATATCATTTATTTGCACGTTTAATGTGTTTGTATATACAAAAGTATGTTTAATGACAATAATTTGTGGGTCAGAGGACACATTAACGATAGCACCCAACACCTAAAGAAAAATTATAATTGCGTTACTAGTTTATTAACGGCTAAAACGAATTTTTCGGTTTATAAAACAAAGGCATCAGTCTAGCAAAAAGTAAAACAATAAATATACTTGCAACACACAAAAAGAAAATTTTCATAAATTTTTACTTAAGAGTTAATTAAGAGTTAATTAAGAGTTAATTAAGAGTTTCTTAAGAGTTATTTAAGAGTTACTTTAGAGTTACTTAAGTGTTGTTTAAGAATTACTTCAGAGAATTTCACTTAAATCAGCAAAGTTCCATTAACAGAACTAACATTTTTCGTTATGTGTATTTATGTAGTAGTGAAAAGGTTAGTCCTTTGTTTTAATGCCAGACTAAATGGCCTTTCACATTTATTTGGTCTTTATTCCTGCATTGACAGTAGAATGGTCCCATAAAAAGTACAAAAGTCACTAACACGTAAGATTAAACACAGATTGCGAATAGCAAATTTACCGAGCAAAGTAGATTTCTCTAACAAATTTAGCAACAAAGCACAAAGTATGCCCAAGGACCAGAGAGGAGTAATAACCCAATTTCTATGAAAGCTATGTTGCGTTTCTTAATGCAAAGAATTTCTAATAGCAAAGCACTTCATCAGCAATTGTTTCCACAGCGTGTGGACAAAATCGAAGATATTCATTTCCATTTGCTCTAACTTAATTTGATTTTGTACATTGCCAATAGGAAGCCGTTTTAACATGAAAGGAAATTAATTTTGATTTCTCATACAGCATAACAACACAAAATGTCCTTTTTATATCAAATTTATTTATTTTCTCTTATTTATTATTTAGCCTTTATTTTATTATTTATTCATGAATTTCTTTATTTATAAATTTTGCACATTGTTATTTTGTGATTTATTCAGAAAGCATTTTATCAGAAAGCA